CCTGTCAGCTTTATTTGGACCCATCCTAACTGCAAAGGCTCCAAGGAATGGCCAAGTCATGAGCAGGATCAACTGGAACTTGAGGTTTGCAACTCTTACTGTTAATTGAAATTTCTTGTAATGCTTTATAAAGATAAATTCCTGGGTATGATTCAGTAGGTGTGGACTGACCTCTGGGGTAGCTCAGTGGTCTTGTCCTCCTGGTACTCTTGTGGCTGGTTAGGCTCTCCCATACTGCACCAGGAGTAGTCTATGCAAACAACATATGGCACATGCAGAGTGATGCTATGTCACTTCTAGACTGAGCTTGGATGCTTTCTCAATCACCTGTTCTTTTATAACTCTCTTTAGGGGAACCAACTGCCATGTTGTGAGGATGCTTAAGTAGCTGATGGAGAGGCCTCCTGCTTTCAGTCACATGGGGGGTTACTATGAACAGGAGCATCAAGCCCAGGCCATCATCTGGACAAAGCCCTCACAAGACAGCCTGGACCAGGACCACCAGCAAGCTACTCTCAAAAAATGTGTGTGATGATAAATATACTTTTAAGCAGCTAGGTTTTGAGCAACAGATGACTAGGTTCAGCGCAGTAATGATGAACCTTTTAGAGACAAGTACCCAAACTGCAATCCAAAACCCACTTGACACAAAGTGCTGACATGCAGTTAAACCTGATACTGAGGTCTTAGTAAAAACAACTCATACATTAACATTTCTTTTTTTTAAAAAAGAAAAACAAATAACAATGTGCCATAGGTTCACCACCACTGGTCTAGGTTGATGTCAGACAGCTGCAGATCTGAGAGCTTCTCAGGCAGTTCTGGGGTATAGTTATAGCAACAGGGTCTTGTTTTCTGGGGGTAAAGCAGGTCAAAGTGTGTGCCACATGTGTACATATGGTACATGTATGGGTCCTATGTTTGTGTACATATACTATGTGCTATATATGAAATGTGTATGTGCCCATGTGTGCTGTGTGACATATGTGAAGTATATTTTGTGCCTATATGTGTGTGTTCATGTGAGGCATGTGTGTCCATGCATGCATGTATACCATACCTATGATGCAGGTATCCCCATGAACATGTGTGTTCATGTATGCATGGAGGGGTGTGGACCTGTGTGTGTATGAATGTGGCTACCGTTGCTCTGTGTGCCCCGATCTGAGCATAGAGATGAGGATGAAGACTTCTTCTGCAGGGGCTTCAAGAGTGGTTGAAGATTTACTGCACCTTGAAGAAAGAAACTCCTAAGACAAGGAAACCTCCGAGGGCTATTGGGCTGATGATTTTCATAATCTACTTAACAGCGGGATCTTTCCTGCCAATGAAGCCATTCACAAACCCTGGTTGGAAGCAGTTCTGGCACTGCTTCCTCCACTTCCTGCTTGTCCTCAGCAGTGCCTGAGGCCTTCATAGCTCACAAACCCCAATAGCATCACTATAAATTAGCAACCCGAGGCGAATGGGGTGAAGTCACACTGCACGGCTATGGGAGATGCCCAGAATCTGACTCCTTGCTCCCTAATCCTACCTCTGCGCTGCTTAGGAAAATGGAGTGATTTATTTGTGCCTTTGGTAGCTTATGTGTCAGCTGTGGACATAGCCCAGGACCAGGGCTGGTCATTCAAGCTGCTCTCAGCAGGAATGCTTGTCTTTACCCAGAAACATTTGTGGGATTAGGGGTGTGAATCACATCCTACCTGCCCAACACAGACAGGGTCCCTTTAGCTGGTCCCCTTCAGAAGGCAGGCTTCACGTGCAGTGCCCTGAGTCTAATGAGAGCAGAAGCTAACATGATGCCCAAGGAGTGCAGGTGTTGCCCTGTGCACCATGTAAACTCGGCTGCCCGGCCTCCTGACCACCAAAGGATGACAAGGGTCTTCACTCTCATTCACACTGGGGTAGGAGGCAGTGGTCAGAGTTGTTTCCTGCCTAGCCTTGATGCTCCCAGCCTTCTGGCTTGAAGTCCACTTCCACACCTCACCTAGGTCAGGAGGCAGCTGGGGGTTAACTCTTTCAAATGTGCTTTTTACATCATAAATGAGTGCTTTGGGGATGGAGAAATGGAGGGAGAAGGCGATCATTTGGGAGGACTTTACTCTATTATTTTCAGGGCTGAGGCTGAATTTACATCAGCAGCGATGATAACAGGCTGAGCTGGCACTTTGTCCTCCAACTTACACATCACGGCTGAGGGTTGTTGCTTCATGTAGGACACAGATATGTAGGAAAGTTGCAGGAGTGCTACAAAGAATTCACTTAGATTCCTGGGCTGTTAACACTTCCTTACATTTGCTCTTCTGCCCTCTATGAACCTACACATCATCACCACTGATCATCTTCTAATCCACTTAAAGCCAACAGCAAATATGATACTCGAATCCCTCAAATACTCTAGAATGCATTTTTTAAAATAAGAGCATTTATCTACACAACCCCAGAAATGACAGTAGGTTTTCTTGGTGTGTCTCATAGAGGTGCATGATGGCCATCTACCCCACCACTCATGACGTTAGTCTGGGCCACCTGGTCAGTTTGGAGCCTGCCAGGTTACTCTGCTATAAAGTCACCATAACTCCTCTGCCCTGAGGTGACTACAGTATGTGTCCCTGCTCCTAGAGAGTCCCAGCCTGTAACATAGGGAGCGGAGTCCACACAGAGATGGTGGTCTTAATGAGTTGTACAGACAGTGCAAAATCAGAACTCAGGCAACCGGGACGTGGAAAGCTGTGCTTTACAGAAAAGATCACTGCCCAGAGAGAGAAATCCAGGGAGACACAGAACCTTGAGTCCCTGGTTGAGTATTCATTTGTGCACATGTACAAGGAAATGCCCAAGGCTGGAAAAAGCTCAAAAGAAATAGATTAAGCAACACCCGAGGATCAATCACACAGGGTGGGAAACAGTGGCATTCCTCTGGCACCTCCTAAGACACAGGGCAGTGCACAGCAGTCTTTGAAGAGTGTGCTGACTCAGCAGGGTGGCAAAAATCTGCCCTAAAGTCTTTTCTCCTTGATAAATTTAGGAGTCTTAAAAGGATCAGGTTTGTTTGAAGTAACTGTATTGTAGAACAAATATCAAAATATTTAAAGGGATACTGGAAAACAAATACTTCTCCCCAAGAAAACTTAGCACCCAAAAGTGTAAAGCTCCTGGTATCTGGCATCTAATATAAAATCATCAAATATGCAAAAAAAATATGACTCTTCACCAGGAGAAAAAAAATCAATTAATAGAAACAGTGTGAGATAACATAGATGATAGATTTAGTAGATAAGGGCATTAAACCATCTATTAGAAATAGGTCCTGTATGCTCAAGAAGATAGGCCAAAGCATGAGAAATATAAGATCTATCTATCTATCTATCTATCTAGATATAGATATATATATATATACACATATATATATATATATATATATATATATATATATATATCTCCATATTGAATTTTTAAATGTAGTACAGGACTGAACCCAGAGCTTTTGCACTGAGCTACAACCTTATCTTCTCCCCATTTTCAAAGAAAATGTGAGACAGAATCTAGCTAAGTCACTAAATTGTCCAGGCTGAGCTTAAACTTGTGATCCTTCTGCCTCAGTCTCCTAGTGATGAGATTACAGGTATGTGACACCATCCTTGGCCCCATGTTGAACTTTTAGAGCTCAAAAATGAAATGAGAAATATGCTGAATGTGGTTAACAGTGAACTGGACATTATCAGAAAAGGTGGGTGAACTTGAAGACAGCCATGGAAACTATCAAGAATGAAAGAGGAGAAATGACTTCAGAAAAATAGCCAGAGAAGATGACATACAACTGTAATCCTAGTTACACAGGAGAGACAGGAAGATATACAAGTTTAAAGCCCACCTGGGTAACTTAGCAAGACCTTGTCTCAAAAATAAAACAAGCAAGGGCTGGGAATACAGATTGGTGGTAGAGCACTTGCCTAGCAAGAATGAGGCCCGGGTTCAATCCTCAGTACCATCACCACCATCGCCACCATCACCACAAGTCAAGCAGAGCTTTGGTGAGTCAAAGAAAACTATGAAGAAGTACAGCATTCATACAATTGGAGTTGGGAGAAGAAGGAATAACGGCTGAAAAGTTTGAGGAAACCATTTACTTTCAGATCTAAGAAATTAAAAAATCCCCAAGAGGGAGAGAAAGGTGGAAAGTCACAAGAAGTCTCACCATGACCAACTTTCTAGGGCTGAACTATAGGACTTATTTATTGTCTCTCTCGGCAATAGGTGCAGAGCAGGAGCAGAGAGGAGCTGAAATGGGATGAGGACCAGAAAGGGACACATGGATGCAGGTGAGAGAGTCTGAAGGGAGAAGGGCAGATGTCACGGTGGAGGAAGATGTCAGCAGTGGTAGTGTAGTCCCTTCTGAGGGTCCATCACTCTACCTGTCTTCAGCAGGCCCACCCTGTCCCTGAGAGGAGCCAGCCCCTGCAGCTTCTGCCCGAAGTCAAGCACTGCAGGCATCTCATGCCTGGCTTCACTGTAGTGCAGGCGAGTGGGTCCTCTTTGTTCCGGAGCCTGGCCTGACTCTGGTAACTGAGCCCACGGATGACAAAGTCAGCAAGTGCAGTAGATACCTGGAGGCTGGCAGGACAACTCCATTTTTCAGAAGGTTAAACGCAGCCCCTGACACATGAGACACCCAGCTGCTCACCACAGAATGCCCTCCTACGTGGAGTTTCAGGTCAAGGAGCAAAATCCCCTAAGTTGGCTGAGCTGCATCTCGGGGACATCATGCTTGCCAGTGGTGCCTTTGGCATCCTCAAGGACAAGCTGCCAAGATGAGCTGCCACACACACTGCAGAGTGGGACATGGGTACTCTGGTCCATGGTGAGTGCCTACTTTGTTTATCTATCACTGCAATGCATGGTTACCAGAGCCAGGGCTAGCTGGGGTGCCCAGGGCCTGCCCAGCCAGAGCACCAGGCCTGAGGGTGGCCACGGTATTAGAAAATCGGACCGACACCTACCTGCCAGGCCGGAAGGACCTTCTCAATGTCATTCAGGTTGATGCCATCTCCATCTTCCAGCTTTCCTTTTCCACACCTGGACCAGAAAAGACAGAAAGACATTGGGAACAAGGCTCCTGTAAGGATGCTGTCCTGACCCTCCCGCAGGAGAGGAGCAATGGGCAGGAGAGCCTTGGCCCTGTCCTCTTGGAAGGCCTGCACAATCAACTGTTCCACTTGGAGGAAATGGTGCTGGGACAGGCGTGTATGTGTGTGTGTGTGCACGCATGCATGTGTGCGTGTGTCTCCTCCCCTCATGCAAAATCCAACCTACAGAGAAGCTACAAAGGAATGGAGGAGTCCACTGACGCTTCTTGGCTAATAAACACCAGTCACAGCTCTTATAAAAGCCCTTCCATGTTGCCCGTTTGCAGCAAAGGAAAAAAGATCAGTGAACATAAAGACCAAACAACTTTCTCAAGGTTGCTTGGCTGGCAAAGGCTGGCAGGGGCTGGCAGAAAGCTTGGGGAGGGGAGCTTTTCCTCCTGGGCTTGGCTCTCAGCCTGCTAGATGTGTGCCCTGTCCTGTAGGCTGTCCTCTGTGATGGACACACCCTCAGGCCTGAGTTGCTGGCCCAATTCACAGGCCAAAGATCTGGCTTTTCTGCATATTTAAGGGTGCAGCTTCTGACGAAAAACTGCTAGGCTGTGAACCCCAGCTGCAGCTGTGACTCTAACTGAGTGACCCCTGTAAATCACTTTGTATCCCAGTTTTCTTGTTTGTAAAACAGAGAAAATTAGTGCCTAACATCATAAAGTGGCTGGAGAACTGACTTAATGAATTCAAGTGCTTAGATGTTTATGATTATGCCCCAGCACAGAGCAAATATTTTAGATATGTCTTATTTATGCATTATACATAAAACTTAAGTCATGTAAATGGAAAATATAGGTAATAAATTACATAAAATTATAATATAATAATCAAAAGCAATAAGAATCATGTAAATGATTCCCTGCTGCTCTGGCTACTTCTGTGACTACTGTCCTCCTACGGGACTGAGTACCTCCAAGTGACTGATTAAACCCCAGGTTCTGGGGCCAGTCCAGCTGCTTGTGAGTTCCTCCATTCCTGGGTCTCCAGTCTCCCTCAAAGTGAAGACCATCGTTCTGGCTGTCTGGGTTATGATGAGTTTTAGTTCTTCCAAGACAAGCACTCAGAACAGGGATGGGTGCGTGGCAGGGCACAGTAAGTATTATTACTGTTGTCAGACTTGACTGAGGCCCAGTGAGGGCTGCCCATGGGCTGGCAGCAGCACTTTCCAGCCACAGAGTTAACGCAACTCTCAGATTTCAGAGTAACTCATTCACTTAAATATTTACCAAGCATCTATTTCTATTTGGGGCCTTGTCTACAAAACAAAGCCCTGAGTGTTTGGCACAGCAAGTCTTCAACTTATCTATTAGAGCCATGAGCCTGACCGCCACTAGGTGGCACAGGATAAAACAAGAGTCACAAAAGTCCTGTGGACCGAAGTGCCTGGAGCCCAGAGAAGAGAATCTGGCAGCCACAGCCAGCAGGGGTTGGATGGAAGAGAAGGGGGCTGTGAAGCCAGCCTCCCCACACCATTAGATTCTTGGTTTCTTCAACCACCATATGCTTCTGCACTAGGGTCTGGGAGCCCAGTTAAACAGCACTGGTTGAAACAACTGCAGGAGACACAGCCGGGCCTACAACGGGCAGGCCAGCGCTGTCAGGGACAGGAGGCAGGATGCTGCAGGAGCCTGGTGAGCGACTGTGGAACTGACTTGGGCAGAGGGCAGAAGGCAGGTGGGACCAGGGGCTGTGAAAAAATGTCCCAAGTGTGGAAGGCCAGCGCTCTGAGAGGCCGAAGCAGGAGGAGTACAAGTTTGGGCCCAGCCTGGGCAATTTAGCAATTTAGTGAGACTCTCTCTCAAATAAAAAGAACACAAAGGGCTCTGGATGCAGAGCTCAGTGTGAAGGTCCTGGGTTTGAACCCAAGTACAAAAACAAACACAAACAAAAAAGCCCCAGGCAGAGTGAGCGGCCTAGCAGAGGACAGAAGCTAAGCAGCCCTGGACTGCAGCGGAGGCTGGCTTCACCTTCTGTGGGGGTGGGACTGCAGGCCAGGGAGGAAGGAGCTGGAGAGGGGAGGCTGGAGGACAGGCCAGGAGTGGGCAGAGGGGTGTAGTGGCTACCAGGGAAGAGAGGCTGCTGTGCTACAAAGGAGAAGTAGAGAAAGACCTGGAACCTTTATCCAGCTGTCTTTGAACTGACTAGAGGTGTAAATGAAAAACTACAGTGCATGTCTACATTTTAAAAATGTATCACGGTACAGACACTGCCATTAACCTCCCTCAACATACTCTCCCGTACTTCAAACACACTCATCCCACCATTCCTGCCATTTCCGGAGCAGTTCTGGATTCCTCATTCATGTCTTTACTGATGTCCTGAATCTGTTAAAACATTTTCACAGTCATTTTGACTTCGGGAAGATCCAGAAGTTGCATGATGTTGTGTCCGGGGAACAAGGTACATGAGGACACGGTATTGTTTTTATTTGACAGGATTGGTCATAAAATGTTTTGAATTGATTCAGGATATCAAGGCAGCCAAGAAAAGGCAATGAAAGAGGACCTCCAGAGCTGCTTCAGAGGTGGCAAGGAGAATGGGATTGTGCTTGAAGCAAGGGGGAGCATTTTGAGGGAGATTAATGGCAATGTGTCTTATTGCAATGAATTTTTAATTCAGATGTTCACTGTGCTTTCTGATCGTACCACATAAATCTGCCTGGGGACCACAGGGGGGCCTGTGAAAGCATCACTTGCTTGTAGTCATCCATGCTCTGCCCCTGCCATGGCTCTCGGGAAGAGGCTACTGGGGACTTGGCTAGACTGGATTGGCTGACATCCAGATCTCCAGGAGCTCACATGTGGGCTTCTCCAGCAGGCACTGGGCTCTGAAGCCACGCCAGGCTCCAGGCCTCTTGCTGTCACTCAATAGCTTTGGGTCAGGCTGTGGGCAATGGGCAGGAGAAGGCTGCTGCCCGAGCCCGCCCTGGTCAGGGCCAGAATCTCCTGCAGGACTGCAGGTGAGTGGTGGGGGAGGAGGGAAGGTAGCTACAGCCAGCTGAGTCACTGCTGCCAGCCAGGTTTCCAAGGCAACAGTCTGCTCTGATTTCTGTCCTTCCATGGAAACACGGGCTGTGGGAAGCCTTGGCAACTGAGTGGTGCCCAGCTGAGGGAGGATGCAGTGGCTGGACACATGGAGTCTACCCCCCTGCATCAGGACTTTATGGGGAATAGAGTTCCTGGCTTCACCATAAGATGGCCACAGGACACTGCCCCACACTCCCAGGGAACCTGTGAGGGACGGAATTTGGTCAGAGTCAGGTGTCCCTGACAGACCCAAGGCTGTTCTCTGAAGCCTAGTGAGCTCTTGCTGAGTGGATGAACACAGCTGAGGAATTTAGGCCTGCAGCTGGTGGGTGGGTGTCACCTGTTACTCTGGTTTCAGAAGGGACAGTACCCTTCAGCACGAGGACAAGCGGCACGCTTCACATGACGGTGGTTAACCCCCGAGAACAGGGCCAACACCTGTGGAAGCTGGAGCTCCACATGTAGTCTCACTAGATACCTGCAGGCAGTAAGGCACAGGCATCACTGTGGTCCTGTCTTTCACCAGCTATGAGCTCTCAAGGAACACAGGAGAGACTGCAGTTCCCAGGAAGACATCATCTCTCTCTCCTGAAGCCTTTCCAAAGGACTTGTGCCCACAGGTGCTCTCTTTTCTAATTCCTTTTGGATTTGCTTTCTTTAACCTTTTTCAAGCATGACTTCTCTCTTCTTAGCATGAGAGGGAGGCTATCCTTTCCCTCGGGAATGCTTGTTACGCAGCAGGGAGACCAGTGTTGCCAAGAAGAGTGGCCTTAAGTAAGGGTGGCCTGGGAAAGGGGACATGAGAGATGAAGGAAAGTGTCTAGTTATGTCACTTAATGATTAGGTCTGAAGTGACAGGAACAAAGAACAGGCAGGGGAGCACTGGAAGGAAAAATAAACACCACCAGTATAATAAAATACACAAACAAGCAGAAAAGCAGAAAATAATAGGTGAGAGTGAAGATGTGGAAAAACCAGAATCATTGTACACCACTAGCAAGAATATAAATATTCAGTTGCTTTGAAAAAGTCTGGCAGCTCCTCAAAAAGACAAAGAATTACCATATGACTCAGCAATCTCTGCCCAAAGAATTACAAAGCAGGGACTTACACAGATATTTGCACTCGAATGTTCACAACGGTATTATTCGTAAAACCTAAGTGGTGGAAAGCACTTAAACCAAGAGGCAGAAGGATGTATAAGTAGCGCTATAGCCATAAAATGGAATATTGCTCAGCCATGAGGAAAGAACAAAGCCCCGAGCCACGCTCCGGTGTGGGTGAACCTCAAACTCTTTATGCTGTGTGATACAAGCCAGGTGTAAAAGGTCACATGCCACTCCCAGGAAGATCTATAAAGTTTCCGAAGACGCAAATTCATAGAAACAGAAACGGTGTTTCTGGAGCTGGGGGTGGGTATGTAGATGGGTTTGGGGTTTTAATTGGGGTGATTAAAATGTTCTGGAACTAGAGAGGAAGCGTCTGTAGAATATTGTAGCTATGTTAAATACCAGTGAATTGCATTCTAAAATGATTAATTTTATGTTATGTGAATTTTGCCTCAATAAAAATTATTTTAAACAAATAGAATCTGCAGTCATTTGTCTCACAGCCTGTGGCTGGAGCCATAGTGTCTGAGGACAGCCCTGAAATCGGTTTTAAAAGGACCACAACACTAAAGCACCAAGCTGACAGAGGGCAGATGCCCGTGTGTGACGACGAGCAGTGCTACACCAGTGGCTCCCAAAGTGGGTCCCTGGGCTGCAGCATCAGCAGACCCTGGGACTTGTCAGAAATGCAATTCCCAGCTTTGCTCCTCCCCCGGATCTACAGCATCAGAGCCCCTGGGGGGGGGACCCGCGGGAGGCTAAATGGGGGTGGGGCTTCCGATGCTTGCTCAAGTCAGAGAGCCACTGGCCCGGTGACTGCCAGGCGGGGCCTCTGTGTATGGTCAGGAGCAGCCAAGATGGAAAAAGGCAGATTCTGAGAGCTGCCAATGCTGGGCATGCGAGCAGGGCATCCTGGACCTAAGGTACCCGGGTGCCCGGGTGCTGCAGGATCCCGCCCCCTTACCCTTCACGGTCGATGTGCTGCAGGGGCTGCTTGGGCGCATGTCGCAGCTTGCGGTGAAACTGCGTGAAGTCCAGCTTTTCAGGCTGCAGGTCCCAGGTGGCACCGCTAGAGGGCGAGGGAGGGCGAGAAATGGGAGATGGGAGAGGCTCACAGTCAGTGGCTGGGGTCAGGAGGCCGAGTTCAGTGGAGAAACCTCCTTGATAGAGGCGACAGGTGTGATTGCGGGTGGGAACCCATCCCCAAGGGCCGGGACTGACTGCAGACTCCCCTAGCAGTGGATCGTTCCCTCAGGCCTGCTATAGGCGAACCCATGCTTCCAGAACCCTGGTGTGACCCACTGGCTACTTCATAGCCGTTCCCTTCAGAGTCTGTCTCTTGCCTGTAGTTGAGGAAGACTCAGGGGAGGGCAGTGTGCGTGCCGAATCTGTCACCGGGCCTCTGACAAGCAGCTCAAAAAGGCCACAGGATCTCTGAGATGGATGAGTGGGGGAGCAAGGGCTAGTCCTCCGGGTTCCCATCCCAGGAGACTTTCTGTGCCCTGGCCAGGGCGAGCCTGGAGTGCACCCCGAGTTGGCCAGCTCTGGGGCCATCCGTGACCCACATAATGGTTGGTGGACACCATAGCAGGGGCTCCTCAGCAGAGCTTTTAGGGGAGCAATTCCCTCTTCCTTGGGAGCCTGAGCCAATTCTTGAGGCCCATCAGGAGGCTTCTAAGTCTGGGCAGCACAATGTTCCCTTTTCTCCTGGACTTGTCACATGAGAAGAGCAGGGACCACCGCTCCACTGTCCTTGTCACCTTCCATGTGCCCCTCTCCTCTGCTGCTGACCTCCTCAGTTCCTCCCCTCCCTGTCCTTCTCCCTTTCGGTCTGTTTCTGTGTCTCCTTGCATCCTCTTTTCTCCCTGCCTTTTCTTCTCTTCCTCTTTTACTTTTGATGCTCTTGGTGACCTTATCTTTCTCCCTTGGAGCCCCTGTCTCTGCCCTCTGTCCCGCTTCCTTCTCTCCCTTTCTGCTTCACCTGCCTCTGTTTCCTTCCACTTCTTGGTCAGTGAACACTGACTCAGCAGGGCAGAAGGATGGGTCAGCAAAGGACACACTGCAGGAAAGGTGCAAGGGAAAGTTACCTGAAGGAATCGAAGGTATTGGCAGCCCAGATGTCTGTGCCCAGCATGTCCAGAGAGTTGTCTTTGCTGCCATTCTGGAAAAGATGGGGTGAGAGAGATGACATTATTTGCTTGGCCAGGATACTGAGAACAAGGAGATAGAAAGCCTCCCCATGGCTCAAGCCTGCAGGGCTGCAGAGGTCCTCACTGTCCCCTATGCTGGTCATCAGAGGCAGTTTGGAGGCTGGAATAAGCCAGCAGAATACTGAGTATCCCAGCTGGTGCACTAGTGGGAGTGAGGAGAATGGTCCTGGGGATCCCAGGTCTCCTCCTAGACAAGATCCCCCATTAGAGGGTATATTACAGAGGTATGCAGTCAGGTAGAATAGCCTAGGGCTCTGCACACAGCTCTTTGCTCAGAATGTCCGCACAAACTCCATCTGACCCACTCATGAGCCATTACCACTGCTGCTAGCCTGATGACAGCTGTTTCTCCCCAGGCAGAGGCTCTGCAAAGCCGGGCAGGCTGGGGGTCACACAGGGACTGACTTGTTTCAAGTTATACCTCACTTCCTGCAAAGCCCCAGTGACCAGGACTACACCAGCAACTGAATTTCTCCCTAAGTCAACCTGCTCCAGTGTTCATCCTCGAGTTTCCTACATGATCCACCTCCCGCAAGATGGAGCAGAAAACTACTCAATGCACCATCTATGGTTTGGTTTCTTGGCCTGTTGACTGATGATCTCTCCATTTCTTGTTGTCATTCCTGGCGCCCGTCAACCCTCCTTCCCCCTACCATCAGTTTCCGTCATCACAGCCCTTAAAATCAATACTTCCGTGGCCAACCCAGGTGAATAACCGCATGCTATGGGATACAAGAATTCACTCCCAGGGACAAGCACAACAGAAACGTGCTGTGAGATGTACAGCAGCACTGTTCATATCAGCTCCAACTGAAAACCATCCAGATGCCTATCAACAGTCAATCAGTTAAGCTGCTGTGGCATATTCACAGACTGGAGTATCACACAGCAGCAAGAATAAACAAATCAAAAGGACATGCCATTACTTGAGCAAATTTTGTAAACAGAATATGAGACAAAAGAATACAGACACAAAGGAGTACTGATTGTATGATTCAATCTATATGAAGTTCAAGAATAGGCAAACTAACATATAGTGACAGAACTCAGTAACAGGTCGCAAGGGCTGGTAATGCCTATTTCTTGATCTGGTTATAAAGGTCTGTTATAAAGGTCTGTTAAGTTTGTGAAAATCCATTGAACTGTACACATATGATACATACACTTTTCTGTATATGTTATTACCTTTTGCTTAGTTTCCTAGTAATGTCCCCAGCTTTCATCTTTGGGGTCTTTCTGTAGATATCCACTATGACTAAAAACTCCCTGGGTCACCATTTCTCAGGGCCACAGCTCACACATTGGAAGACCCCAGTGTGAGCCTGGGCCTGGACAGACTCTGAAGACATGAAGGTGGAGGAGTTGCAGGCCCACCCATGAGGCTGGTGTGGGATGACAGGCACACAATAAAGAATTACAATACAGCACGTTGAGCTCCAGCTTGGGCACCGGAGATGGATCAAAGCACAGGCAGTTTCCCAGAAGATGAAAGAATTCCTGGGGTCAGGCAAGCAGGGGGACAAGGAAGACAGGGGTCATCTGGGCAAAGGGAGAGGGTTATACAAAGGGATGTAGGATACAAAGCCATTCTGGGTGGCTAAGAAGCCCCTGTGCTTGCACAGCATCTGGAGAGTGTGCCTGAGGCCCAAAGTGGTGACCTGGTGGTCTTCAACATTATCCACTCCTAGTCCAGGTCAGAGTCTACTGCACATTAATCGCAGGTATCTGGCCTCCATAGTGGGGAAATGAGGATAAATTTCTGTTGTTTGAAGCCATCCACTTTGTGGTCAGACATCTGAAATCAAGCAGCCCTAGTGAACCAACAAGATGATCCACCAACCATGTCATTCATGAACTCCTGAGACTGGCCCGTCACGTCTGTTATGACTTAGAACTGAAGTGTTCTCCAGAAGCCTTGTGTGTTCAGAGGTGAGACTTCTGGAAAGCAGTGGGCCCTTGAGGGTGCTGTACTCATCAGTGGATTAATCCATCGATGTGTTTGCAGCTAAATGTGCTGCTAGGAGACAGGGCCTGGTTGGAAGAGGTAAATCACAGGAGTGTGACCATGGAGACCATAACTGATCCCTGACCCCTTCTTCTCTGGCTTTCTTCCTGCTCTCTCCACTTCCTGGCTACCATGAATTGAGCGGCTTTCCTCCACCATGCTCCTTTGCCGTGATGTTCCTGCTTGCAGCCAGCCAACTGTGGACGGAAACTTCTGAAACCACGAGTCAATCCTTTTCTCCTTTAAATTGTGAGTATCAGGTAAATCGCCCCAGCAACAGAAAAGCCGACCAATACAACACCCTTGCCCTCTGAGGTCAGCAGACCCTTACCTGAAGCCTTGTTGTGTCTTCCTACCATACGGCACAAAGGTACCCAAAGGTCTGGGTCTTCCATGGCTGCAAACAGAGCAGCCTAGGCAGGCAGTGTGGCTGGTCTCTGACCACTACCACTTCTACCTCTGGAAGAGACAGCCTGGGAGAGGCTGCACCTGCTATCCCCTTGCTGCCCCGTTGGCTGAAGACCATGGCCAATGTCACCCTAGTGCCTGCCCTCAGAGCCCACATGGACAAGGCCTAGCCTCAGGGTGGAGAAGAAAAGTGGACACATGTAATTTGCATTTACTGAGTATCTCTTGTCCATAAGTAATGATAACCCAGGTAGAAATGACCTGAGCCAGCTACCTGAGCCTCCACCCTTCCCCTTTCATCACTGGAGACCCTCAACCTTGGCAAAGAAACTTGGGGGCTTTGTTTTGCTTTGAATTTTCTTCATCTGCCAGTGGTCTGGCCTTCCATTAGCCTGAGGGAGTGGGCATACAAAGGCCCAAAGCCCTGCTCTCCTAGCAAAAGGTGCCCCGGGCCCCAGCCTCACAGGAAGAGGCAGGAAGTAAGGAGCATGGGGTGGACAGGAGAAGCTTACATGGTCTGGGATTGTGGAGGGGCTGGTGGGAGATAGTTTACCCTGTCCCCCTCAGCTGACTGACCTCAGGCAACACCCTTAGCTTTCCTGGGCCTCATCATAACACAAGGATGGAGCACTGCCAGGCTGAAGCCTGAGGTTCTGAGTGACTGGAGAGTTTCTCACTCCAGAAAGCATGCGCACGCACACACACACACACACACACACACACACACACACACACACACACTCACACACCCCGCACGTACATCATCCACATACATAAGCTTTAAAAAAATTTTAAATCACTTGATAATGACACTTAGCTTAAACTACATATTGTATAGCTATACAAAACATTTTATTTCTTTGTGTTAGTATTTGATAGGCTTTTTCTAGTTTTAAAGTTTTTAATGATTTTATTTTTAAACTTTTATGTTAAAAGCTAAGGCACATTGAATCTGAATAAGAATTTTGGGAGAATGGCCATTTTCACAATATGTATTCTTCCTATCTATGAGCAAGGGATGTCTTTCCATTTTCTGAGATCAACTTCAATTTCTTTTTTCAGTGTATTATAATTTTCCCTGTATAGGTCTTTCACTTCTTTTGTAAGAGTAATTCCTAAATATTTCATTTCTTTGGTTGCTAGTGTGAAGGGTGTGGCTTCTCTTATTTCTCTCTCTGTGATTTTGTTGTTAGTGTATAGGAATGTTATTGATTTTTGAGTATTGATTTTTGTATCCAGCTACATTACTGAATTTATTTATTATATCTAACAGTCTTTCAATGGAGTTTAGGGGGTCTTCTATGTAGAGTATCATGTCATCTGCAAACAATGATAATTTAACTTCTCCTTTTCCTATCTTTACCCCTTTTATTTCCCTCTCTTGTCTAATTATTCTGGCTAGTATTTCAGTACTATATTAAATAGGAGTAGTGATAATGGATATCCTTGTCTTGTGCCTGATTTTAAAGTAAAGGCCTTCAATTTTTGGCCATTTAGTAGGATACCAGCTGTTGGTTTGTCGTAGATGGCTTTTATTATATTGAGGTAAAGACCATCTATTCCAATTTTCTGTAAAGTTCTTATCATGAATGAATGTTGGACCTTATCAAAAGCTTTTTCTGCATCTATAGAAATGATCATATGATTCTTACTTTTGGCTTTATTGATACGGTGAATTACATTTATTGATTTACGTATGTTGAACCGTCCCGCATGCCTGGGATGAATCCCACTTGGTCATGGTGTATAATCTTCTTGATGATTTGCTACATCCTATTTGCCAATATTTTATTGAGGATTTTTGCATCTGTGTTCTCTGTACTGTTTTGGTCAATTTTATTATACCTAATGATATAGGCAATTCTTTTTAAGGAAGCAAGAGACATTATGATAACCACTGTTGATAACCTTGTATGCTGTTTTTACATCATGTGCTATGTCTATCCTTGGTTTTGACTGACTGTTTTGTTTTGTCATATTTGGTTTTATTCTCTTCTAAAAAAAAGTAATAAGAACTATGGGAGTAATAAAACCCAAAATGTGTAAATTTTGTTGTAAAAAAGAGAGGAAAAAAAAAGTGCTCTAAAGGATACAACTGCAAGTGTGTTTAGGTGTGTAAGACAGATGACCATATTACTGAGTTTTTGTTGGATCATTGAACACAACTGTTTGCAGTCTCACTGTTTGAATGTTCACTTTGTATGCTTTAATCCTGTAACTTGAACAACTATTTCTAAGATGACAATATGTAATCTATTAACTAGTGATTTCTTACCTTTTTTTTTGTAATTCTGTATTACTTGTACCCTTATACTGTATTTTTTTCTTTTTTTCCTTTAAATAAAAAATTTTTTAAAAAAGAAAAAAAAAGCTAAGGCACAAACACAGACACAGTGGTTAAGGTATGCAGGATCATCCTCATCACTGCCTTTCACATCTTGTCTCATTTGGAGGGTTTTGGGGACAGTAACATGAACAAGGCTGTCACCCTATGACGGCAGCATCTCTAGACTAGTTCCTCAAGGTTCTGCCTAAGGC